CAGATGCAAAGTAACTCACCCCTTCCTTTCAGGGATAGTGTGCAGGATACTAGCTGAAAAAACAAAATTCAGCTTGATAGGAGAGACTGCGTGTGTGCTCCGTTGCCTTCATTGTGTCCGACTCTTTGCGACCCCATGAACCGTAGCCAGGCTCCTCTGTCCGTGGGATTTCCCAGGTGACAATACTGTAGTGGGTAGCTATCCCCTCCTCTGTCAGGGGATCTTCCTGACACAGGGATTGAACCTGGGTCTCCTGCATCATAGACAGATTCTTTACCCTTTGAGCCACCAGGAAAGTGGTCTAACTTCTCCTCTTGGGGGTAATCAGTGAAACTTTCCAGCCTGCTGATCCTACCAGGTATTTGGTGTGCTAGTCAGGTGTGTCCTAGCCTGCTGCTGCCACCTTAGACGTTCATGAACGCACCAGGCTGCCACTTCTGAGAATCAGTGGTAAATGTGGAAAAGTAAAGGTAAGGTATATCTGAAACTTGTGAAACAGAAACTGAGTCACCCTGTAATAGAGCATATATCAAGACTGAATGCTCCTGTTCAACGAAAGAGTTCTTTAGATTTGTGATAGAATCTGAAAGACTGCCAGTGATAAGTTCTTCTTTGTCACAGACTATTACGTATAAAATGGATAAACAACAAGAATATATTGTACTGCACAGGAAAATAGAGGCATTTTTATGTAATAACTTTATTTTATTTTTTTTCCATTTATTTTTATTAGTTGTGTAATAACTTTAAATGAAGTATAATCTATAAAAATGTTGAATGTTGTACACCTAAACTAAAATTACATTATTTAATATAACATTGCATAGCAACTCTATTTCAATCTAATAAAATGAATTACTCTGTAAACCAACCTGAGTGACCTACACTAATTAGAAGCCTAAAATGAGTCCTCTAAATTTTCACAGCCTTTCATTTAAAATCACTGAAACTTTAAAATCAAAGTATTTGTCTTCCTCAGCTTTTTAAAGAATTGTAAATACAAAGGCTGCAAATAGGAAGATACTGAAATTTTTCTCTACCAATCAAAGAAGAAATTAAACATATTACATGAGTATATAAACTTTGTAAAAGATCTAGTTTTCAAATTTAAAACTGGACTTTGGAATAACTCAACTTGTGGGGAGAATCTTTTGATGGAGCTTCTGTTTTTAACTGGATAAAATTATATTTTATATCCTAATGGGTTAAAAACCAGAAGACCTATAATTTTGAAATATCTAAATTTAATTGAAACCATCAACATAAACAAAAGGAAAATTTATATAAGGAGTTTTGTTTTGAAAAAATATTTGTTGAGAGATGCTACTGTTAAGTTTTAAAAAAGACACACCTGTAAAAAGACTTGAGCTGAAAAATTTGTGCATTTCAATATAAAGAAATTAGAATATATTTCATAAGAATATATTTTTCAAAATCAGAATCTGCTTTGAACTTACTAGGTAGCTCAGTACTTATAGAGAAAATTTTCAACTAAAAACATTATGGTGTAGAGATTGTCATTCTCAGGGAAGTCAGACAGAGAAACAGAATCATCTCATGACATCCCTTATGCGCAGAATATAAAAAGACATGATACAAATGAACTTACAAGACAGAAACAGATTCACAGACTTAGAGAATGAGCTTATGGTTAGGGGTGGGGAAGGATGGGGGAAGGGTTAGTTAGGGAGTTTGGGATGGACAGGTACATATTGCTACATTTAAAATGGATAACCAACAAGGACCTACTGTATAGCACTGGTAACTCTGCTCAATGTCATGTGGCAGAGGAAGAGGAATGTTATGTAGAAGGGAGGGGGTTTGGAGGAGAATGAATACATGTATATATATGGCTGACTCCCTTTGCTATCCACCTGACACTATCATGACATTGTCAATCAGCTATACTTCAATACGAAATAAAAACTTAAAAAAATATTATGATCTATAAAGAAGCATTCATTGAAGATGGCAATGATATAATGTTACTGTATCCATGAAGAAAATTTCAGGCAATTTTATGAATAAATTAAAGAAAGGAAAATTGTATTTAACAAAATGTATTTTTTAGAAAAATACCAGTATTTGGTGGTGGAGAAAATATGCTAAGAAACTGATTAAAGTATGTGAAAATGTACTGAGAGTAAGTACAAATGCTAAAAAAATGGCATTTAGGTAATTGACAAATAGACATTTTGTAAAATCTGGTAGGTAAATACATATTTATGTTTTAATATATATCTTATTGTTATTTTTTGGAAAATAATGTTTAAATAGAACTATTTAGTAGCTCTACCAAATATCATTGAACCAAATTTTTGGTTAATAGATAAGTATACCTAAGAACTGCATAGTTTTGTTTTTATTAGTTCCTTCTCTTCTTAAAAAAATGTCCCAGTTGGGTCAATTAATAGGCCCACTAAGCCGTATATGAAAAGTGAAAGTGTTAGGTGCTCAGTTGTATTTGACTCTTGGTGATCCCATGGACAGTAGCCTGCCAGGTTCCTCTGTCCATGGAATTCTGCAGGCAAGAATACTGGAGTGGGTTACCATTCCCTTCCCCAGGGGATCTTCTGGACTCAGGGATCAAACCTGGGTCTGCTGCATTGTGGTGGATTCTTTACTCTGTGAGCCACCATATGGTTTGTTTGCAACAGTGGAGACTTCCAACTTTGGGTGACTGAGACAGTAATTTGGGCAAGAGGAGTTGGAAAGAGCTTAAAAAAATCATTGCTTCATATAAAAACCGGTAAAATAAATGGGTGTTCTGAAAACAAAGAATGGCTAGAGCAGTCCCATGTTACCTTTGCCTTGCAACAGCCTCCCAAACTTGAAGAAACCATGTTTGTCCATTTTTATAAGTTACCACTATGCCCAACACAATACCGTGTATGTAGAAAATCTCTATGTAAGTTGAGTGTGGAATAAAAGAACAGACATGCCTTACATGCAGAGAAACTTGCTACAAACCTACAAGGGTGTGGAGAATGGAATTCTGCAGGCAAGAATACTGAAGTGGGTTACCATTCCCTTCCCCAGGGGATCTTCTGGACTCAGGGATCAAACCTGGGTCTGCTGCATTGTGGTGGATTCTTTACTCTGTGAGCCACCATATGGTTTGTTTGCAACAGTGGAGACTTCCAACTTTGGGTGACCAAGACAGTAATTTGGGCAAGAGGAGTTGGAAAGAGCTTAAAAAAATCATTGCTTCACATAAAAACCGGTAAAATAAATGGGTGTTCTGAAAACAAAGAATGGCTAGAGCAGTCCCAGGTTACCTTTGCCTTGCAACAGCCTCCCAGACTTGAAGAAACCATGTTTGTTCATTTTTATAAGTTACCACTATGCCCAACACAATACCGTGTATGTAGAAAATCTCTATGTAAGTTGAGTGTGGAATAAAAGAACAGACACGCCTTACATGCAGAGAAACTTGCTACAAACCTACAAGGGTGTGGAGGGCATAGTCCTTTCTTTTCAGAAGTTTTTCTATTAGGGAAAGCAAAAAGTCATAAAAATTAAATGTGCAATAAATTTTAAAGGAAAAAAATTTTAAATGAGTCTGAAGATTATAGCTTCGTTATTGCTGAAGTTATTTAAAACAGAATTCCATGATGGTTAGTTATCTGAAAAAAAAAAAAACAGGCTCAGTAAACGAAAAGTTTGTGTAACTTCTCTATTGGACAGAAATTATTTTAATTAATATATTAACAAATAGTTTAATGGAAATGATTATACAATGTACATATTTGGTATTTAAAATTTCCTCTAAACATACAATTTTACAACCATGCAACTGGAGTCAACTTTTCCAATGGCAATAATGTATGACCAGTTAAGTGGTAATTAAAACGGTTTAAGCAAAATGCACATCAAAGTTGTATCTTTTTAAAAATCAATTTTTATCACTAATTCTGGAGAATTTATACTCTGCTTCTGTTCTCGGAAAAAAACCTCAGAATTTGCAACAAATGCATTAAAATTAAAGATCAACAAAACTCAGCTGCCATAGATAGCTTGAGAATAAACACAATGGAAGAGTAAGCGTAAGTACAGTCCATTTTTCTAATTAAGAGTGATAGCTATACTTCGAAATTCCTAAAAACAGACGGGAGACTGGTTCAGCATGTAAGATAGAAGCACATTTAAATTAATGGAGGCTGGGAGGAGAGCTGATGGTTTTAGCATAAATAATAAAAAAGATACTACATTTCCTAATCTATCAGTTGACAGTACGTTCCCAGCAGAAATTTGGAATCTCATCCAGGTTCACGTGAATGCAAACTGGCTCATCTAGTTCAAAAGTAACTGCTGTGGTCAGGTCCTCCAGGGTAGTTCATCTTATTCTGCATTCTGCCCTCGATCGCGGTCTTTTTCTCCCATAGTGGCCTCTGAGAGTAATCAATCTGTCCAGAAGGGAAGCTGCCTGAGATCCAATAGTGATAGCCTTCAACTAGATCTGATGGAGGCCATGTCCTTTTCATGAGGCAAGTGGGAACATCGCCCCATACCCATACTATTTTTAGTTTTCACAACCTCCTTCCCGGTCCTTACTTGTTTCTTTTAGTCCCAGACCGAGAAAGTTAAACCATCACCGGAATTCAATAGGTTGAATGGGGACCCGGATGACTGAAGAAAAGGACCGACCTGGAGTGCCCTTTGGGGACAAAAAGGTTAAGGGAGTGGCATGGGGCAACTCTCCTAGCTCAAGTGCCCCTCCTAGCAGAGGCCCCAAAAGCCAGCGAGTCCCTCAGACTGGAAGACAAAGGAAGGCTCAGGGCCGAGTGGTGACGGGGTGGGTGGGGGCAGCGACTCGCGTGAGCTCGGGGACGTGAGAACGCAGCCCCCGCCCCCTTCTCCGCCCCATCCTCGAGAAAGGCGGAGCCGCCAGTCAGCCCTCCGAGAGGTCTCCCCGCGGTGCAAAGCAGCTGGTCCCAAGCGGCTGCACACGCCCAGGCACGGGCGGCGACGGGACGGTACAGTGGGGGAGGGGCGAGGAAGGCGGCTGCAGTGGGAGTTCAGGGAACGCTGGCGGCGGTGGCTTCTCAGCAAAGCAAGTGTCTGAGACTGAGACTCCGCAGCGGCGGCGGCGGCGGCGGCAGCCGGGACCGAGGTAACCGAGGGGCGGCGTCGGCAGCAGCGGTGGAAACGAGGCCCCACCTTCAGGTCGGAATCTCGGGGGCTGTGGCTGGGCTCGGACTTCACCCACCCACCCACCCTTTTCAGCCCTGGGCTCCAGACCCGACTTCTCGCGTCGTTCCGCCGCGGGCCGGGCGGGGGCGGGAGCAGCGCCCGGGGTTGGGGGCGCGGAGCTGAACACCGACCCGAGGCGACCCCACATCTAGGATTGGCGAGGACGTCGGGCACCCCTTCCCCCTTCAGAGGACACACCCCGATCTCGGGGCGGGGAGGGTGTCTAAGTGTCTAGGCGTTCCCAGCCTTCTGGAAGGAAGACCTCAGTGTGCAGGCTGCACCTCGGTCCGTGGCCTCTCCGAGGTGGCCCTCCTGTGGCTCCTTGGGGCCACTGAACCCGAAGGAGGTTCCTGTCGCTGGAAATCCCGGAGTTTCTTTTGTCTATCAGCTGAAACTAGAGGCCGGAACTGTAGGCAAACACCCACCAGCCCAAGCCATCTATTCCTTATCCCTTTCCTGCCTGGAAGGAATTCTCCCCGGCAGCCTTTTCTCCGGCCACAGTAGTAAATTTCATGCCTCACCTCCTCTCCGAAACCTTCCTCTTTGGCGCAGAGGAACGAAGGATTCGTGTAGTACCTTGTGTTTGAATTTTTATCATTCATGTAAGCTCACCCCTTTCCCCTTTTTTCTTTTTAACCCGTTCCCATCCAGCCGCAACCCTGATACTCATCCGCTAGATTTTGCAAACTATCAACAAAGGATCGTGGCCAGTCAAGTCAGCAGAGCCCTTTGAGTGGCTGGTCTGTGCAAGTTGATAGAGCTTCCTTAACTGGCGCTATTTGGCCAAGCTTGTCGGAAAGACCTTTTTGGCTAGAGTTAAGGATGATACTGCATGTGCCTAAAGTCTTTATTTCTCCTTTCTACAGTGAGGTTGTAAAAATCCAGGGTAACTTGATTCAAGTGTAGCTGTTTGGGAAGCCTAACTATAGAGGAAGAGAAGTACAGAAAGGAAAATGTAATTATGATTTTGGTGTAGTTATCCAACTTTTTGAAAGTGCCAGAGATGAAGTGTATGAGTTTTTGAGATTACTGTAACTGGATAATTGTATTCTTTGACAAATAAGCTTTTTAGCATGTGATATTTTGCACGAAGATATTTTTGTTTTATTTAGTTGCTAGTGGGAATTATTGATTACCTGGACATCTTAAACGCAGAAACTTGTGAACAGGTTCATTAAGAATCTCTCTTGAAAAATGCATTTTATGAATGCTTTGAATTAAGAAGGTGTTAACAGTGGTTTGCCATTTTTGCCACATAAGAGACAGTAATCTGAAGCAGTTCACTCTCTGGAAGTTGTCCAGATACCTAAAACCTGCAGGGTCTAGTACTTTGACTATCCTTCAACAAGAAGTATAGCACTAAGAATCTACTGTATAAATGTAATCCCTTTGATAGCATTTAACTGTAATGGACACATTTTTCTGCATCTAATTTTCAGATACAGAGTTAACGCTGGAAATCTGGAGAAGCATTTTATACAAATTGAAAGATTGGGCTTTCTCTTCAGTTTTCCAGATGTATTGTCTCATCTGCATACTTGAAATATCCACAATCACATAAACTCCAGATGTAACCATGGAGTTACGCGACCCATCAAGATATAGGAAAAGTGTGGCCAAGGTTCGGAACCAGGCAGTTTTCCACCAGTTCAACAATTAATATAAACATATATTCTCTGCTGATTATCAGGAATAAAGAGCCAAATAAAGTCATGCACATTCTGTTGGCAGATGGACTCTGTGGCTGTTCAATTTTACTGTAACTGGTTACTCTGCCATTCAAAGTCAACTTAATATGCAAGTTCCGTCCAAATGGATGTAAAGATCTGTGTTGATGTACCCAGATGCTAGCAAATGTTGACGATAAGAAACCTATTATGACTAATCCTTGGGAAGAGAAAGTCTGCAAAATGGCTCAAACGAGTTTACTGCAGGGGAAGCAGTTTTACTGTAGGGAGTGGGTTTTCCACAAGCTTCAGCATTGCCTCCAGGAGAAGACTAACTGCTGCAACAGTGCTGTCAACACACCACCCCTTGTAATGAATTCTGGGAATAATGCTAGTGTTGTCTCTGGGAAAGGAGCTGCCTGGGGTGTGTTACTGGTAGGAGGGCCTGGTAGTGGCAAGACAGCCTTATGCACTGAACTCTTGTGGCCAAGCTCACCTACAAGCTTGCAGAGAGGTTTACATCGCCAGGCTTTGGCCTTTCATTTCTGCAAAGCGCAGGACTCTGACACTTTGTGTGTTGGAGGGTTTATTAGAGGTCTGGTTGCTCAGATCTGCCGTAGTGGACTACTCCAAGGATATGAGGACAAACTAAGGGATCCAGCAGTTCAAAGCCTCCTACAACCCGGGGAATGTGAGAGAAACCCAGCGGAAGCATTTAAAAGGTAACAAGTCATGGTCATGGTGTTCTGTTTCTTTGCAAAAATTAAAGTTTTGTTTTTTTGCTGTTTTGTATTGTTTCTTAATTTTGCCAGTACTTTTACTCTGTGTATTTGGGGATAATCTGTGGTTGTGAAACACTTGTATACTTTGAATGAAAGAAACAAAATTTAAGCTTTGTATTGTAGGGATATTAATTAAAAGTATATCTTTTACTTGTTTAATAACAGAGTGTGAAGCACTGAAGAAACCTAGAGAGGTGTGATATTTTTGCAGACTTTTTAACACATGAGTGCCATCCAGTAAAACTCAGGGCAAATCTGTTTTCTTCTGCTGTTAGCCATCAAAATCTGTTATATCATTCTGAAATTAATGAGCACATCTGTTAGGCAAATACCTATATGACAAATTTGAGACGCCAAGCTTGATGGACAGTGTTCAATATGGAATAATCAATAATGCAAACCTGAATATTAAACTCTACTTTTTAAGAGATGTAAGTGTGCATAAACGAATCTTTTCCTCTTACTACTTTTTCTGGAGGTACTGTCACTCGTTGAAGAGCTGAATTTTCGTTTCCGATAAGTAATTTCATGAATTGTGGATTTATTGAAATCTTAGAAAATGTTTTGAAAAGCTTAGTCTAAGTTGAACTTAGTCTAAAGTATGTAATTATGTAGTTTGATTGAAATTAGTTATGTAAATTTTTAATATTTTAAAATATTTAAAATCAAGTCTGATAACTGTATATTTTTGATATATTCTGATCACGAGCAAATCTTTCTCTATAGTAGCAGAGATTTTCTTTAAAAAGATCCTTCTACTCAGATCATTTTTCTATATTTTTCCCTCCCGGGTGAATTTTAGTTACTAATTGAAGGTGAATAAGAAGCAGATACAGCTGTGTGTAAAAACCACATCAAAATTGATTTTCTGATGGACAGAAGGATCTAATCATTCTGTACTTGGGGAGGGAGAGTCTAGTATTTCTACTTGTACCATTCTGGTACTCTTATAGTTTTCTACTGGGTCTTTCAAAAACTTGGGTCACTTTCTTTTTCACTTAAGTAATGAATCAGTGGGCTTCCAAGTGGCTCAGTGGTAAAGAATCTGCCTGCCATTGCAGGAAACACCAGAGACACAGGTTCGATCCCTGGGCCAGGATGGGGAGGAGGAAATGAAGGAGGAAATGGCAACCTACCCCAGTATTGTTGCCTGGAGAGTCTCATGGACAGAGGAGCTTGGCAGGCTGCAGTCCATGCGGTTGCAAAGAGTCAGACATGACTGAGACAGCGTGCTCAATGATGATTGAGTCTTTAAATAAACTAGGTAACCCCTTGGTATTGGAAAAGCTGTTTTTGATAATTCATAGAGCTACATGTTTTTTTGAGACTGTGAAGCAGTAATATAAACATCGTCAAATGCAGACATACTTAACAGTTTAAAAGATAGTTTTACATAGTCTATGGCATTAGATGATCTAGGCCTCTGCTTTTGGACAAATAGTTAAGATTTTATTGTGGCTTTTACTGGTGTTTGATTGACTTGTTAAGTAAATCCTTTGGAGAATTTTAATAGGCATATATTTTATTTCGGCAGGGATAGATGTAATTCAACAAGTAGACAATGGAACAAAAGGTCATTATTTTCAAAGAGTTAAACAATATTTTGAGGGAGACAGAGTTAATCGTAGTTAATCGTAGTTAATCGTAACATGATGGGATGTAAAATACAAACAAAGAAAAGTAATTATTTTTTTCATTTTTGACAAAAATAATCTCCCAAACCAGATTGTGTATTGTTACTTTCTTAACATCTAACACTTGATAATCAATACTGGTGACTTCATATATTTATGTGTGAAATAATTTAACAGTAATGGTAATTTGATATAGTTCTTCACAGATCCATAAAATTGGGGAAATTTCAGAGTGGTTCAGTAACTGATGCTTTTTTTATCTACTTTTCTTCAGTTTTACTTCCTAATTTTTTATCCTTGTTGTTTTACCCTTAATGATACAGGATATAATATGCAGTGCTGCAAACTAACTTCTTACATGGAGTCACATAGCTTAAGTAGTAACTTGTTAGTTACCAGTTTTTTGAGATCGCGTTCTTTTCGTGATTAAAAAAGACTGAAAATAACTTCATGTTTAGTTAAATATTGCTACTTTCTTTTTTTTTCTGACATAGTAGAATATACTCTGTTGATTCTGAGATTTAGTTGTCAAGAAATTTCTTCTGATATCCATTCATTCATTCTTACAGCAAATGTTTATTGAGAGCTTTTTATGTTTTAAGCACAGTTCAGCTATAGATATTTATTGAGAACTGTCTGTGTTAGGTAGAATTCAGCTATAGATAAATTAGTGAATAGAACAGACAAAATACACTGTCTTCATGGAGTTTTAAGTTCTTAATGCTAACATTTATCTTATTTCTATAAAAAAATAATACTTTGGGTAAATACTTGCTATTGTGTAGATGCAGCACACACACGTTTTAACACTGATGGAACTGGATCATCCATTAAAAGGAATGATGAAGACACATTAATTTCTTATTTTTGTTCTTTTCCATTTTTCTTTCTTCACGGGTTAAAATGCAAAGCTGTTGTTACTACACTTAGAATATATATATATTTCTTCTGTTTCTATTGATGGAACTAAGATGACAACCATCACATTTTTACTTGTTCCCGTTTCAGGCTTATACGGGAAAACTTTGCATTTTGTGTTGAATTGACTTTTCTAGAGTTAGCGGTAGAGATAGTTTCCTAGTAGTCCTGTAACTGTAAAACAAATTCCAGTTGTTTTTGACCAAAGGATCAAGTTAAGGAATGAGGGAGGGGTTAGTGGTTTTAGATCCTGTGATTGGTTCAGAAGCACAATGAAAGATAGTTATTTTTTCAACCACCCCCCATCCCCAAGGCTAGGGTCTTTTTGGAGAGAGAGATGGATGTGGAGTGGAAGTACAAAGCTTTGTTCCTAGTAGATATTATTATTTCTGGTTAACAATCTGCAAGGCCAGATGTGAACTTTCTGTGTGATGTCAATTTTCCAAGTTGGGTAAAAAGATTTTGTTCTTTGTGATGTTGACAGTAGTAGTAGTGTTAGTCGCTCAGTCATGTCCAACTCTTTGCGACCCCATGGACTGTAGCCCACCAGGCTCCTTTGTCCATGTGATTCTCCAGGCAAGAATACTGGAGTGGGTTGCCATTCCCTTCTCCAGGGGATCTTCCCGACCCCGAGGGTCAAATCCGGGTCTTCTGCATCATAGGCAAATTCTTTACCATCTGAGCTACAGGTAAAGTTGATAGGAATTATTAAACATCTTCAGTGGTAACCTCAAATTAAGTATAAAGGGAATAAAGTTGTGATGAAGAATTAAGGATGAACAACTCTAAACTTTGAGAGTGTAGCACAAAAATTTTATGAAAAGTGGTGAAAGGTAACAATGGCTTGTTAGAAAAAGATTGGGAGCTAGAAGACTGGACTCTGACATTTGTTCCTTATGTTGAATAGGAATCCTTGAATAGTGGAATTTTCTTTCTAATCTTTCTGTCTCCTTAAACATTTTATACTTCTTCCCTCATAGCTCTTCAGATTCTTAACTATCTTTTGTAATTACTTATGCATACATGTTTTGTTATCTCCTCTATTAGACATATGTTTCTTCATAACATTATTCGTGACTGATTAATATTTTATGTTTATGACAGCACTTTGAACAGCATTTTGCATATCGTAAGTGTTGTTATGAGTATCGTTTGAGTGAGTGAATACTGCTACTTACCTATCTAGAATATGTTTGAACCTGATTGAAGGACAGCTGAAGCTCTCGCATAAGAAAGGAAATTGAAATGTTACATCATTTAGGTGAGTGTTATATGCAGACCAGGCTGATATAGTGATTATTAATTTGTTAACCTGATGTCTGCTCTCTAGCATGTATGACTGGCATTGGTTCAGATAGTTTTACATGGCCAGATGTATATCTTATGTCTCAACTGACTCCAGGTATTTTTGGCAGACTAAACAAAGGGGCAAAGGACAGAATGGGACTGGGGTGTGTTCTTCCTTCTTACCCTCAGTTGTGGGGTATTTTCAGGACAAAATAGTTCCTTTCCACTATCTGTTTTGTATATCTAAGACTACTTAAGATAAGTGCTCTTAACTACTATGATATCTACATATTTACAGAAAGATGTTTAAACCTAAGAGCTTCTGAATCCACTTTTAATCTATCTTTAGCCTTAGATGATGTATGTTAGTAATTTTTTTCATTATTAGTGCTTTCTTCTATTCAGAATCCTCTGTCTGACTATATTCTTTGATGGTGCTTTCTCTGGGTTCTCTCTGGCTGTTTGTTCAACAAAGCCCCTTTAGGTCATCTCCATTTGTTTGAACACTCCTTCAATAATGTACTTACATGGCTACCAATGCTTATGTCTAACATGATAGCAATCCAGTCTACATCAACAACCTTTCTCTTCATTCTGATCAACATATATCTTTTCACTGGAGTGTCCCTCACCGACTTACCTCTGTTCAACCCATTATCTCTTTTTTAGCATTTCTATTCATTGACACTGATTTATTTCTTAAACAAAACGTCAGCACCTGCTGTGTGCCAGATGTGTGCTAATATGCAGATAACAGGACTGAAGTGGTGAACCAAACAGGACACTGAGAAGTGGGGAGAAATACATTGCACAAATAATCACAAAAATTAAAAAATGCAGCTTTGCTAAGTGCTGAGAAGGAGGGACACAGGCCAAATAGGAATCCTTGAATAGTGGAATTTTGTTTCTAATCTTTCTGTCTCCTTAAACATTTTATACTTCTTCCCTCATAGCTCTTCAGATTCTTAACTATCTTTTGTAATTACTTATGCATACATGTTTTGTTATCTCCTCTATTAGGCATATGTTTCTTCATAACATTATTCGTGACTGATTAATATTTTATGTTTATGACAGCACTTTGAACAGCATTTTGCATAT